AGTCTATCTATTCTTGAAAATTAAAGATAAATTCATATTTTTGTTTATGTTTTCTATAAAAAAAAAAAACATATCTCATAGAAAGGTCAAACTTCTCAATTCATCAGTAATAAACTCAAAAACAAGACAACTGTAGTTAATGAGATTTAAACTGATAAAAAAAATGAAAGATATATGAGTACGTATTCTATTATGTATTTCGTAATAAGACTAACAAATGAAGTGTCCTTCAACTGATAAATCGAAACCATGTGCATTATGTAGAACTAAATGAACTATGAATAGTGTGAAAAGATTTTACGCCCTTAGATTATTGCTGCCAAGATACTGCACTTCTACTGTATTGTTTAAATGAACGTCGTGATCCTCTTCCGAAAAAACTTTTTTTCGATTTGAAATTTTGTCTAAATATTATTCTCAACGTGAATTGTTTGTTGTAAAAATTTCAGGCCTTTTAATTTGGTTCTATCCTAAAGTACGAACATAAAATCTACCGATTTATATTAGTGATTTAAAAGACACGCTATTATTATAATTGTATCTTTGGATAGAAACAGCAACATGATCTGAAACATTCACAAAAAAAAACTATTCTCGTTAATGCTTATCTCTATGCAAAGTTTCAAGTCAAAAATTCAAAAATTATTTTTTCTGTTATTGTTGAAAGAAAACCATAGTATTCATTTAAAAAATGTCCTAAATGTACGGTATCTCTCTCTCAATTAGCTAAGAGCACGAACTGTTTTCAGGATATTTATAGCTCATTTAGTTCTACATAATGCACATCGTCTTGATTGATCAGTTAAAAGACTTCAGTCATAAGATAAATCTCACAACGAAATCTCTTATTCCATGACATGATTTTCTTAAAAATAGAAAGGTTTAACAAGCATAAAATTCATTTCAGACAAGATCTAATCTTTCTTATATTAATTATTTTTCTGTTTTAGAAAGTTTTTTTTTTCTCTGATTAATAGTTTTGTCAACATATTTATTTCGAAATAATCACGAAATATATCAATACGAAAAATGTTTAATTCAAATTTCAAATGTTATATATATATATATGTATGTAGAATAGAATAGCATGCAGAGTTAAGGATTGCATGTAACGGAAGTTGATATTTTAAATTAGATCATCATTCATGTCGAGATAAATTTATCGTCGAGGTTAACTAGACTAAAATTTTTTTCATTAATAGATTATTAATTTTTCTCGAAAAGAATTTAGAAAGATTCATAAATTCTTTTTGTTAATCTAATAATTTGATTTTACTTCTTTTAGACAGCGGAAATTTATAACAAAGAGAAAAAAAAAGAAGACATCTATCTCTTCTTGATTTATTTCTCTATCAAAAGAAATAATCATGCGTCAATGAATAAATATCTGCATACTATTCAAAAACCATGAAAAGGCATCCTTCTAATTCAAATGTTTCATATAATTCAACAATATGTGGATGTTTAAGACTTGAACATATTGTTGCTTCACGTCGTAAATCTAAAATATTCAATAGAAAAAGCATCATTTTTTTTTGTCTTCAATTAATCATCAATTCAATCAAATGTTTACCATCAGCAGAAAATCCTGGTGTTGAAGTAAATTGTTCGACATCAATTATTTTAACTGCATATTGTTTATCGTTTGTTTTATTCGTACAACGACGAACTACACTGAATGGACCCCTTGAACAAGGAAAAAAGAAGAAGAAACTAATTAAAAACAAATAAAATATTTCTTTTCATACTTTCCAATGATTTCATAGAGATTATATAAATCAGAAAAACAAATTGATGATTGTTCATCATTATTAGGTACTGTCGTTGTCGTTTCTATATGCATAATATCAACTGATCGATGTTCATTATGAATAACTGAAAAAAAAGAAGAAAAAAATTCCCATTGTTGTTTTTTTTTCTATATAACTATGACTGAATGAATAACGAAGTGAATTCGACAAGAAAGACATAATGAACTAGCTCAGGAAAAAAGACTAATCAAGCTAATTTGATTGCATTTCCTATCGTCCGAACATGACAGGACCGAACATGTAGAAACAGCGACAGCAATAACAATTAGCCTTAACCAATGAGAACATGAGAAAGAAATGTAAATAAACAACAATACTATTTGGTCAGCATGTCAATCAATCAAAATTGATAAGGAAAATATTTTTTTTTCCGTTTGTTAAAATAAAGTCAATAACAAGTAATATTATATATTAGAGAAGAAAAAATTGTTATCGAACATCTTTTTCTTTCTCTAAAACCGTTTAGATGCGACCTCTTTCGATTGACATATATATCGTTAGAGAAAAATATCATTCGTATAGAAAATTATTTATTTTCCGTTTTGGATAAATATGAAAAAGATATTCTTTATTGCTTTTATTTTCATTTTAAACAACAAAAACATACGCAAATAAATATACAAGGATCAGTCACTTACTCTATCGACATATGTGCGTACAACAAGGATCACATGTTTTGTTTTCTTTCTCCACGACAGCATTCGGCGCAGAGCATTTTTCTTTATTGTCAATAGTCAGCTGGTATTTTTCTTTTATGTGATTCCATAGGCAAAAATATAATAAGTCTTCATTATCCAAATCAAGTATTTTATATTTTTTTGTTGTAATACTCAAGGTCGAATATTTTTAGATTCAACAATCGATAGTTAAAAATATTTCATTTTTCTGATTTTTTGCAAACATGTGTTCGCCATCGCCTGGTAAACGTCGAATAGATACAGATGTTATTAAACTGTATGTTTCTATAGATGAAATTCGTTTTGTTTTTAAATATAATTTTTTTTTTTGTATTAGTCTTGAATCAAAACATCAAGTGACACTTATGTCGGGTCTTAATGAGTTTATGGTTAAATTTGCTGGACCACGTGAAAGTAAATATCGATTTTAAGAAAATAAATTTTTCTAAAAATATTTTTTTTCTTTCAGCTCCTTATGAAGGTGGTATATGGAATATTCGAGTTGATCTACCCGAAAAATATCCTTTTAAATCACCATCAATTGGTATGTTAAAAACTACTTCATCAATATAAATATTATAGATAATGTTATCATATCGATACAATTTTTCGATAAGATCTTAAACTTGAGAAAGGAAAATCTTTGATTGAAAAGATCAATCAACTAATACATATGTACTTTGGACTCATATATATATATAAACATATTATTGGCATATGTCACCATAGTACTAGGTCTTATCATTTATACACATCTGGAAATGAATGACAGCTATAAAAACAATATATACTTATGAATAAAAACATAATAGCATTTTCGATTAAATCCATTAAGCAAAAAATTGTAAAAGCAAAACTGATTGAAATTATTAACATGAGTAAAACTAAAGAATATATTCATAACTTATATTTCGTATGACACAGTAGGAAACAATTTTTTCAAGATTAATATCTGAATCGAACAATTTTCCTTTCACGCATTGAAACTATCAAATAAGGATGTGCTAATTTTCAGGACAATATGTCATAGATGACATTTTTCTTCTTCATTAAGATTGTTTATACCAACCATGATCAAAGTTTTTTTTTGCTGTATTCTAAACTAGTCGAAATACATGAAATGGAAAACAAACGTTTCGGAATTGATCGAAGATTTCGATTTTTTTTTGTTTTGGCCAATTCCAACTGATTGCGAATCTTCGAAAAAAGGGTTAATATCTTGAATTTCTGATCATAGTTTAGAATATTTTACTATTGAGAATTACCGAACTCCTAATAATTCTTCATACCAGTTTTAGATGTTCTTGCCATAGATTTTCTCTAATGTAAAACATAAATCTCAACATCAGTTGGAATTGATCAAAGAAAACTAAAAAATGTGACTTGTTAACTACAGGTTTGGAAAGAGAAAAACTACACTGATCATAATTGATATAAACAATCCACAGGACTTATATTGTTAATAAAACAAAAAAAAATGTCATTTTTAGTATCATGTTCTAAGGATTAGTGCATCCTTACTACTAATGAGGGAATCTCTTTAGTTACCCCTTTCCGATGTCAATATTTTTTTTTTGTCGGGAGATACTATACATAATATTCTAATAAAGAACTTAGAGGCGCGAAATTTTCAGAAAGCTCATAGTTTTGAATTTTAACCTGAAACTTTGTTAATATAGAAAAATTCTGCAGTTTTCAACAAAATTGCTTCGAGATATAAAATTTTTAAGATAGAGACCTTTTCACATCGATAGTGTATACGACAGGCATTTTTTAAATCCTCACATTCTGCAGAGACTTTGCTGAAAATTCCTGAATTTTTTTTAATAAAAGCTAATCTAGTTGATTTCTCTATATGCCACAACAGTTCAGATCAAAATTTGATAGCTCATGAGGGAACAGCCCGAAGTAATGCAGATCTTTTCAGTTGATATTTCACCCGTAAGTAGAATCCGATAAGACTAGAAAAACTGTAAAAGGATAAGGGTTCATATGTCTTTTGTCACAAGTTATGGCTGTTTTATTACGTTTTTCACCTATGATAAGGAATTTACCGGAAAATTTAAATTACAAAATTTCGATCTGAAATTTTGTCCACATGCAGATCTTATGACCCTTGTAGTAACCTAAAAGTCTCAGACAAAACGAAAAGCTTCTTTCTCGAAATATTAAGTTTTCACGAAACATCGATTCTTTCTAGAAATCTCAGTAAAACAGTCGTAACTCGAGAAGAAAGATCTATGAATCTTTATTCGTTTAGATTTTTTTCTAGCCTCATCGAGTTCTACTTATCGGTAAAATATCAGCTTGAAACCTCTGAATCACTTCAGACGATTTTCTCATTAGTCAATTATCAAAGAGAATTCAAATTGTTTTAGAATTTTTATTCGAACATTATGTAATATCTATAGGCAAATAATCATTGAAATCGGACGGAGGTATTTGAAGGGATTCCCTCGTAATCCTTTATTATTGATTCGATCATGTTTTTTAACATGTTTGTCTAGGTTTCATGAATCGAATCTTTCATCCAAACATTGACGAGATGTAAGTAAAATAATATTCTTTTATGTTAGATATCTATTTGATAAATTCAATAGGTCCGGTACTGTTTGTCTTGATGTAATCAATCAAACATGGACTCCAATGTATGGTATGTATATATATATCAATGATAATGTATGTTAAATTTTCTTATTATATTTTTTCTTTTCATTAACATAGATCTCACTAATATATTTGAATCATTTCTTCCGCAATTACTTGCCTATCCAAATCCGGTGGATCCGTTAAATGGTGATGCTGCAGCTTTGTATCTTCACAAACCAGAAGATTATAAGAAAAAAGTTCGAGGTTTGTTTTTAATAATAAACAAAGTTGTTTGTTAAATATTTGTTTTTATTTTTAAATTAAATAGAATATGTTCAACGTTTTGCTACAGCAGATGTGGCTGATGGTTTATCGACAACAAACGATGGTCATTCATCATCAAATAATCAATCAAATAGTTTAAATAATTCCAATCAAACAAATAAAAATGAATCAGATGATGAAATATTAAGTGATTTTAGTGAAGATGAAGCTGCGGATATGGATTTAGAATAAACTACGCATATTCTTTTTCGTATTCAATATATATTTTTCTTTGGCAGTATATACATAGACTTATTTCACATTTTATTATTATTTCTTATAAATATTATCCTATTTGTATCATTTAAATGCGTACAAGAAGAACTTTAGGCGATTGAAAGAGAAACATGATTTCTTTTTATTTGTATATAATTATTTCTTGTACGCTTTTCATTTCTTTTATTCTCGAACGCTTTCAGAGACTCATATACAGTATTCTCTTTTCTTTTGGCGATGCACACTTATAGGCTTCGTCTCAGGTTCCAACTGCTGAACTTCCTTTTTAATTTTCTTTTGTCATCGTGTGTGCTGAACAGTTATTTTGTTTGTTTTCTTTTGATATCCGCTGCTTTCGTTTACATTATTATATATATTCTATCTATCTATTAAATTAAGATCGTCATAATACATTGTGTCTCTGTTCTTTACTGTAGATTTTGCGAAAAATAAAATAAAAAGAAAAGAAGAGTACGCTTTACGATGAAATTAATTATAAACTATTTTATGATAAATATTATTATCATTCAATGTGATGCTAATCAATTCAACTGTGAAATAGAAAAGAGACTATTGGAAAATAATAACAAAGAATAATTCTATTCATTATTCTTAATATAATATATCTATAGCATAATCAGTTTAGTTTTGTGTATGATTAATAATGGATGTATATGAGACATTTGAATATTCTTTATGATGTTTGAAGTTCTCTTCTTATATTATTGTAAAGAATAGAAATAAAGGAACACGACAGTTGAATAAATATTATTGTACTTAGAAAATATCAATATTAGTGATGGCGCCACAATCGTTGTGTAGAGTAAACTCGAGAAAAATTTCTTGTTGCATATGCTCGTAGTAGAAAATGTACACTATTCTTCTTTAATATGTTATCCCTGACCAAATTGAGATTATTGTATGAGAAAACTTCTATGAAAGCTGTGCTCCCTGTTGTAGTTAAATAATGAAAACTTTCGCTTCTACATTAAAAAGTGGCATACAGCATTTCATATTCAACCGAAAGTTGTTCATGAGAAACTGAATTTTGTTTTCGGTGACCCAATTTTATCTCTCAGAATAGTTGGAAGATGTTCAAAATGGTTTCATGAAGATGAACGACAGCATGGCACTTAACGCATATCAAAAGCAATTAAATTGACATTATGTCAAAGTATAGAATGTTTGAGAATAAATTCTGTCCATATGTGGTTGTAGCATTGGAAGTGCTCAAGATGTCTACAATATATTATCATTAGTTAAGTATTATTCTCACACGAAACATTTCAATCGAAACTCTACACTCTTATTTTTAGATAGATAAGAAAAATTTTCGTTTCTATATCATTCAATCGAAATTGATTCCTGATGAATTATATTATCTTCTTGACAATCATGTCCCACCTTATAATACGGTTGCTAGACAGTGAAAATTAATCACAACTTGGCCCATCTATAACCGAGACAGCGTCTGAATATTATTGAAGAAGTTTGATGCCTTATTGATGATGATCTGCATCTTGCAATTGATAAAATACAAGTGAACAGTGGTTTGATTTTGCAGAGTCATTATATGCAAAGAAAGATAGCCTGTGATTTGATCATTCCGAAACACGAAGAGTTTTTATTTAGCACATTCTTTTTGCCGAAATTTCTTATGATTTCTGTCACCACTTTCTTGAAAAAGAAGAGGTTCTCGAAAAAACAAAAAAAAGATTTTTTTTTGTTTTTTCTCTCTTTCTGCTTTCCTAATCGCGCGTTCCAGAATTATCGAAGAAGCTTCACTTTAGTCGATAGTTTTTTTTGTTTGAAAGATCATGTCAAGATGCAGGTCATGAGAGAGTCCCTCTTTGCCGAATTAAGCTTTGTTACTATTATATAAAAGAGTACTTTTATAATGAGAGCGCCATTTTTTAGACATTGAACTTTTCATCTATTTTGTTCCCTTAGACATTTAACAAAAAGGGTTTCGTCGTGTCTTGCATCTTGACATGCTCTTTTGAAGAAAAAAAACTAAGTCTATAGAACGAAGGATCACTAAGAGTTTAAGTTTGTCAACTGAGCTCTTTTGAACCCTTGTTTGTTGAGTATCTCCCGAAAATATCATTGTATACGACTGAAAATTTCATATGATTTGCATGTTCCTGAACTAAAATCAATTTTTGACGAAAGAAGGAGGTTAAAGCTGAAGAAACTTACTGTCCGCTGGTTACTCAACTTTCTTACTGATAACCAATGAGTCGAACTCATTCGACTCTATCACGAAAATATGGCGAAATTAAAGTAAAGAACATGACGATTCTGTGATGTAGTGAATGGTGACGAGTCATCATTTTATCATAAATAACGAATTGATCGGACATAGTTGATTGCTGCTTGGATACAAACCGATTGAACTATGTCTACTGCGGTGTGACACAGTTGCTTTGCTTAAGTGGACACAACTTTTGGAACGTCCTCTATAATTCAAAATTGATCTTTATTAGCTTATTTGATCACTCATGATATCCTAGCCTTCTTTATTTGTTTTTTTTTTGAATCAAAAAAGGACATCATAACATGAATAGAAAAACTTAGTTCGCGCGAAAGAAGAAAAAAAAAAGAGAAAGAACAATAAGTCGACATCGAAACAAACTTCAATAAACAAAAAAACAAAAACAAAAAAACGATGACTTCTTATTTCTAAAGAGTCAAAATATTTACAATTTGCTCTTGGAAAACGAAACACGAAGATGCATTGAATCCGCTAAACGATAATTATGTGTATTCTAAAAGAACATCATTTATTTTTTTTTTGAAATAGAATTTAGATTAAAAAAATAAGTGCACATACAATTAAAGCGGCAATAGCTTGTTCAATTGTATCCATTTCAATTAAGGCCATTTTACGATCTTTTTCAAAAAATTTAAATCGTTTTATTGTTCCATATTGGGAAAATATTTTTCGAATTTCTTCTTCACTTGTTTCAGTACTAAATAAGAAAAAAAAGCAAAAACGAAATTCCTTTTTTAGGAAAACAAAAAAAAATATCTTTCATTTTTATCTTACGGAATATTTGATAAATGTAGAACGGTACCGGGTGGAAAAATATTATTATAATTTTTTGATCCTGGCTTTTTAAAACGATGTAACGGAGAATTGGTAAAATCTTTTGTTAAACCCATATCCTAGATCATAGAAAACAAAAATGTATTTTTTTATATTATTATTATTACTATTTTTTGTTTTTTATATTACCGATGTACCATCTTTTGGCATTTGTACAAATTGATGTTTTGAAAATGAAACTCGTATTTGCTTTCCAAACATTGTTATATGATCAAGATTTTGATGAGCTATATAAATTAATTTATATTTTTATTGAATTAGAGATTTATATTTACCAACAGCTGCTTGCTGTGATGTAGCATATTGAATTAATGCTGAATCTTTTTTATTAAATAAAATTTTTACCCGATGCACATCACCATAAACACCTATGAAAAATCGAAAAACAAAGAAAATTTCGTTTTTGTTGAAGAAAAATTGGTTTTCTCTCTTTGAAATAAGTCTATCAAGAATGAGAAAAGAAAGAGAAGATACACATACCGAATAGTGTGAATAAGGACTCTGGAGTCGTCATCTAATCGTCCAAAAGAGGAAAAAAAAAGAGAAGAAATGAATAGATATATTCGAAAGATATGAAGTTATTATTTTTTTCTATCTTATTCAAAGATTTTTAGAAATAATTTAATATTTTCTTTAACTTACATCTTCATTAAGATTTGATACGAGAATAACTGGACCATTTTGAACGGATATCATATGAGGATGTTGTTGTTGTTGAGATTGTAGATGTGTTGGCGGTAAACCATGAATGGGTGGTGGCGGATGAGGTGGATGAGCTGATGCATATGGATGACCATAGGGAGCAGCTGCAGCACCTACCATTGGATTATAAGCAGTAGGTGTTGGTTGAAGTGGACTCATTAAATGATTGGCACTAGCTAGAGAAAATTATTAAAATTACTAATAATACATCTGTTAGAGTAACTTCAGTGGAATTAAATTATTTGGCACACAATATTGTTGCTCTTATTAATCACAGAGAGATTGTTCTGTTTTATCTATTTTAGGATGCATTTTTTCACTCTCCTTTTATTTTATCCTCCAGAAATACAATAAGAAAGTAGTCTACATATTATGACGAGATGTTCTCGATATACGGTCTGCTGCTCAAACTGTGGTTGTCTCTGGTCTGACCACAGCTAGTTAAAACCGCCATTAACTGCGGTTTTGTTCGAAACTTTTTTTTTCCGAGAGAACCTTCAGGGTAATTTTTCTCTTCCTAGAACAAGATGTTTAAAGCTTAGTAGAGGAAGCTTTCCTGTACCCAATACTGCATGTATTATCAAGTTCTAGTGTGTACCGCTGATAGAGGGCACTATATTCACTGCATTCGATAGTAATTACTACCGATGTGGTGCCATCTGTTGAGATTTCAACGGTACACAATAAAACTTGATTATGCATACACCTTTAATTAGAGGAAGCATTACTCTACTAGCTTACATTTATTCCGTTTGTGATTCAAAATGTTGTAATTGACTTTCTAGTCTATATTCTTCAAGATTTTATTTTAGATCGTGCTTGAAAAAAAATATCATTTACCTGGTATATCATAACCAGGAGTTATTCCAGCTGTTGATGGAGGTCGACCACGTGATGCTACGGCTGCTGTAAAATAATCTAAACAACCAAAGTATTATTTTGAGAAAAAATCTTTTGTTTTTCTTTTACCATAACGATAATCTTCATTAGATGTTGTTCTTTGTAATGGTAGAAGACCAGCATTTGAATGCATTCGATCTATAAATTAGAATTGATTATATCATAATTAAATAAAACAATTAACCTAATTCTGATTGTTGACCCATATTTCCTTCGCCTGATGGTAATGTTGGATTAGTATAATCTCGACTTTTATCGTTATTATATTTAACAGTCAGTGAAAGAAGTTTTGAATATTCAATTTGAAGCTAAATATTATCTTACAAAATATTTTTTTAGAGGAAATTTAATGAAATATTTACAGTACAACAACCATTGTAGATGTTTTGCCCATGTAATTGCTAAAAAAAAAATAAAAATAAACTATCCGCAAACTTATAACTTCACTAAGAAACTTTTCATTGAATGATGACTAGGAAAAAAAAATATACAAGCCGAAATTTTTTGAATATTCAGCTTTAGACATTCCATGTGGAACCACGTTTTATATAGAATACAATAAGAAATTTCTCTTAATCAGATACTTAACGTATCCAAAAACAAAAACAATAAATTAAAATTGTTCATCTTATTAATAACATTTAATATTATGCTTTATGCATAGAAGATATTACGAACAACGAACCATTATTTATCACAGAAATAAATGAGTTATTTATTATATATTTTAATCATTGAAAACAAAAGAAAATACTTTTTCCTTAAATCTTTTAGGTTTTAAGCGTATCTGACTTTTGCCGACCGAAAATTTAAAAATTTTTTGCTTCTTTTTCGTGTCTACAGTATAAATTTCAACAATTAATGTATAACTATAGAAGTCAAAAACGTCACAATTTACCCATTATTTCATTGATTTTGAAAAATAAATTCGTTTCATGAAAAAACTAATTAAGCGTTGCCTCCGTTTCTCCTACTTATACCAAAAAGTGTTTTGAGTACCTAATATTTGTTTGTTTCAAAATACAATATATCACTGATTTTTTCCAGGGTTTATACGAAAAGATCCAATAAAAAAACGGAAGTATTCTAATTATTTTATTCGATTTCAAGGAGATAAAAACAACTCTAAACAGCGTCTAGTAACCGAATACAAAAACAGTAAAAAAGTATTTCGTATCTTCCAAACGACTCGATCAGGTCCGAATCCGACAGGCTCTAATCTCTAGTTTATCTGAAAATTAACTGCAATTCTATCACACGTATTACAACTAGTGAAGCGAAGTGACTTTTAGTCTTTGTAACCTCAATACCTTCTAGAATGTAGTATTTGAAAATTGTACGATATAATGTTCTCCAAGTGTCAGAGTAGGGATTTCATGTTAAACCAGCATGACTTCATAATAAAATCTATCACGTACACTATCCCTAAACACACTCTATATTCTTCATCGTACTCATTTTGTGGAACACTAAATGACAAGGAGTGATGAAATATATAGTGTAGAAGTTTGGGTTTCTACGCCCCACAGACCGTGGCAATTGTCTCCTAGATGATGAGAATAACTGGTGTGTCATGTTTCACATTTTAATCCCACAGGGATTGCAGTAACGATTGTGTTAACTTGTAACTTACTAATTTAGCTTGTGCAGCTCCAGTTGGATCTTTTAATTGAATAAGTGCTTGAAATTTATCTAACATAATAAAAAAAAAAAAAGAAAAAATGCTGCTGGTATAAAAAAATTTCATTTACCATTTTTTGTAAATGTAATAATTTTCAGTACTGTACCAAATTTACTGAAAATCTTCAAAAATTTAAATAAAAACATTTATTTGATTTCAATTTAATCTTCTCTACCTGATGTATTACATCAATTGTAACAGGATATAACAAATTAATAATACTAACACGTAATACACAATTAGGTCCACCTTTTTGTGCTGTTTCATAAAGATCTGTAGCCTGTGCTAATGCAACATGTGCTTGTTGATTTGTACGATTAGTTGGATCAGTACGAAGTTCTCCATGATTAGAAAATTGTGCAAATACTTGTCGATCATTAATCATAGCTGGCATTGATGTTAAATATTCAACCATTTGTTTAGCTGATTCAGTTGAATCAAATTCCAGAAAAGCCTTATGAAATTTTCAAATTACATAACAAAAAAAAAGAAGATGAAATAAAAAGTATTTACTTGTGATTTTTTTCGTAAATTAAGAAAATTTGTTACACGACCAAATGGAAGACCAAGTTGTACAACTTCAAGTTCACTTGCTTCAATATTTCGTAAATGAACAACACGAGAAGGTAATGCAGGTTCGGAACGACTCTAATCAATTATTAACAATTTATCTTATTTAACAAATTTTTTTTTTTTTGTTTTGTTATACTTTTTTATTGATATCAGTTATTTGTGAATTTGAATTACCAATAGCATCACCATTTGTATCGAATTCATCTCCTGAAAATGTACGCTAGACAAAAAGAAACAAAATAATTTTTTTTTTTTTGTTTATTAATATTTGATAATTTTTGTACCTTCATATTAATCTGAAAGGTGAGAAAAATTTATTGAGTTTATGAAATTTAATCTATTTAATCATACATTACTCGAGCACAGACGCAAACACAAGTCTGTTAGCTCGTAGGACGATGTCGGATGGAACGTTTTGAAGTGTTTCTACACTATAATTGGTATAATTCACTTCAGCCAAAACAAAACAAAACGATCGAACAATGATAAAAAAAAGAAGAAGAAAAGAAAACACCTTCTTAAGCTTTCTTCTTTGTTTACCAATAAAAATCACTGATATCAAGATAATCCACCAATGAGAAGATAATCATAGGTGTTAGTTAAATTGAAAAAAAAAATCATTATCTGATTTAGAAAACTTAGAATCATTCTACTAATTTTTGTTCTATTTTGTTAATTTATTATTAGTTTTTATGATTGGAAAATATTTCAAGATTCGTTGAAGAATGTAGCCAATAGATGTACTCATGAATCATCATTTTCGGAAGAAAAGAAACAAGAGGCTGTCGTCTTTTTTTCAAACTAAACTCTCGTTTTGTTTTCTATAGTGTCAAAAACAAGAAAATTCCAACTAAAAACACTTCATTTCTTACTTGGACTATTTAGATGTCATCGAAACCTAAAGACGAACTTATCAGCAATTTTCGTGCTATTGTACAATGTTCAAGAGAAATAGCGATACAATATTTAGAAGCTGCAGAATGGAATGAACAAGCAGCTTTAGACTTTTTTCTTGATAGTGAAGATGCTCAAGATCATAATTCTTTTCCCCCGGTAGAAACTACATCATCTGTACCAAAAACTAATCAAAATATTCCTGGTTTGTAGTAATTTTTATTTGCTATGGTAACATAAAAGATGAATGTTTGTTTTCTTTTTTGTTTGTTCTTAGTCATAGACAACACTACATCTAGTAGAACAAATGATAATGAATTAGAAGATGATTTATTACAATCAGCTCTTGAAGATAGTCTTCGTATTAAACCACCAGAAAAATCGCCAGTAGAAGTTCCAAAACGAATTAATAATCATAAATCAATAATATCATCTAAGATCAATACTTTTAACGATGATGACGATTATTTAGACGATGAAGGTGATTTGATTAATTTTGATCATTAATAAATAACAAAGAAATTCTTTTTTTTTAGGTCAAGCTTTTTATGTTGGTGGTTCAGAACATAGTGGTCAACAAATTATTGGACCACCCAAGGACAAAGGTAATGATAAAAAAATAACAAATCTATTTGAAGCAGCTCGCAAACAAGGAGCTACAGAAGTTCATGATAATGAATCAACTTCATCATCTCATACAAAAATAGAAAAACCATTTGCAGGTGTTGGATATTCTTTAGGTAGTATTAGAAAAGAAAACTAAATTATTAGTTGAGTATTTTTCTTTACTATGCATAGGAGATGATCATACATCATCGCGTACTCAAGGACAATCATCGTCAGAAGCTGCAGTAGCTGCATCAAATCAAGTGGAAGATTTACCAATTCGATTTTATTCAAATGGATTTACTGTTGGTGATGGTGAACTACGAAAAGTTGAAGATAATCAAGAATTTATTGAATATATTAGACGTGGTGAAGTACCATCTGAACTTAGAAATTTAAATAAAAATGGACGACAAGTTGAGGTAAGCCGTCGAAAGGATCCTGGCAGATCAAATAACCATCCATTATATAAAAAGCCAACTATACTGTTTTGTAGAGCAACGCGTGGCGGATTGAATGGTTTATAGTTATAATGTTCTCGAAAGTCATATACTGTTGAAAGAAATATTATAGCAATTGCAAGTGATATATTAGAATTCATGAGGAGAGACTCGAAGTAATATATTGCTTTCAAGCTCTTTGAATTTTGATCTGAATATTTGATCACATGAAGACACCGATAAAACTAGTTTGTAGAAAAGTTTCAGAATTTTTTCTACAAACTAGTTTAGTTAAATTCGATATCTCAGCAACGAGGACTAAGCAGCTCGAATCACTCGAGAGTATTTACTTACTCATTAGACCCATATATATCAAGTTTTGTCTAAAACTAGTTCAATACAGTTTTGTCTCGTCTTCAATTGTGTATATGTAATAATACTGACAATAGCTTTTTTCGTAATTATCCAAAGCCTTAAGATGTTTAGTAGCTTCTTTAATTTTTAGCTTTTATAACGTTAAAGTTATTTGATACTTCTCTTGAGAGTAAAGACGACCCACCGTGCGATTTTATCAGAAATTGTGTGCCACAAAGACCAATGTTTTGATTTCTAAAGACAGAAAAGTATATGAATTTTGCAATAGGTACTTTTGAGTGAAAAAGTTGCTATCTATTAATAATAAGTTCATCATGCCCGATAATTCGACGTATGTGGGTGTTTCGAAAATGGCACAAAGCTTTTCGCTTCTAGGCTCCTGGAAAGGGGTACGAAAATGAACTATTATAAAGATTAGTTTTTATTTTATATTGTTCCTTACGCGTTTAGATTTTCAGTAGCCGGATTTGATTAGAATATGAAGTTTTCTTAGATGTAACAGATGTTCGGTCTATTATGAACATTACAAATTTTTCATATCGGGGTAGCTCCTCCAGGGAGTCGAAAGCGAAAACTTTTCTGCCATTTTCGAAAGATTCCTATATTTCAAATGATAGGACAGGATGAAATTATTATTAATAGATAAAAACCTTTTCACTTAAAAGTATTATCGCAAAACTCGTATACTTGTCTGTCCTTAAGAATTGAAAAAGTGGCTTTGTTTAGGCATTGATTAGCAGATTTAACCATAACACACATCAATAAGTGTATTTATAAAGCTTGATTGTACATAATTTTTGAGAAAATTGTAAGGTTGGTCGCCTTTGTTCTCAGGAGAAATATGGAAGAATTCATAACATCATAAAAGCTAAAAATTACAGAAGAGTCATAATATTTGATCACATTGCTACAATTGCTATAATATCTCTTATCTGGTATATGCCTATCCGGAGCATTAAAACTTGATGAAACTATATACCATTCGACGAGTTATGAGCTGCTCTGCAAAACACTACAAGTGGCTTTTTAAAAAATGAATGTTGATCATCTTATACAACAGAGTTTAAACAATTTAACTTTATCCAAAAACATTTTGTTTTAGGTACGTCTTGAAGACCATCGTGATGAAGAATATAAACGTGTCGCACCTACACTTAAGCCTTTTGGTGGTACTGGTAATACCGTTGGTTTTCCTGGACTTGAACAAACTCCATTTAAATCATCTATTGCTTCACCTGCTAATGCAGCATCAGGTTCTTCAAATGAAAATAATCTTGAAACACTTGCTGAAAGACACTTAAAAACTTCATCATCATCAACAACGATTCGTCTTCGATTACCTGATGCTTCAATGCCAGTATGTATTAAAATTGATCTTAATCGAACATTAGCTGAAGTACGAAAATTTCTTACTGAAAATGTTCACTCACTTCAATCAAATGCATTCGAATTTATGGAACCACCAGCAACAAAAATAAAACGTGAAGATGAAAGAAGACAAATACGTGATACAAACTTATCGAATTCCACACTTGTTGTCCGACGAATTGCTTAATATTCAATAGATACACTTCCGAATGTGTATAAACAAACACAAACAAATATTATTTTTCCATATTTTTTCATTTCTTAATTAAGAGTTTTATTTTTTATCCTTTCTCTTTTGTATTGATACAGCAAAAAAGAATAAAATAAAATAAAAGAATAACACAATAAAAGTACATATTCCATATGCAATTTTGTAGATTCATTATCATGAATAATTATTTGATGTCTTAATATTTATTTGTAAAATTCTTTTTCATAACAGTTTATTCATTATTAATATATAAGAGTTTACTAATCTTCAACGAAACTAAAAAATATATTATTTAAGACTCATATTCTAGATTGATAACTACAATTCATCGTTAAATATGATAACGATTGATGGTTCCTATCTTGAAGGAGTACGTATGATCTTGCGAATGAGACTGTATACAAATTGCACGATTGCTTTTTATTTTCGTTAAAAGCTGTCATTTAACAGTCACAGGCCTAAATATGCACTCTCTATCATATGTTATGCTTGCTGTGTTGCACGTGTTCTATGGATATATGTTATTCTCTCTATGAGATAAGCTTCTCTTTTTCGAAGGATTAGAGTTATTAGTATCTTCGTTCCTTACGATTCTTTTTTGTGAATGTAGATTGTTTCTAGGAATTATTACAGCTAGAATACTGCGTGACAAACGTTTTCATGATCCGAATCGTATTCGTTCTTTTGACTGAAAGGCGGCTGATTGCACAAAAAGCAATAGCCAACTGACTGTATTTTCCTTGAGTAATTGTCAGGACTCATGCTAGTCACTCGTTCTTCACACNATTCACACCCACACTCCCACACCTACACCCCAGGTCCACCACCTCAACAAGAACAAAACTCATCACCACCATCATGTGCCGTTGCTCCAGAGACAACAACATATGCGGCGATGATTTTACTCCCTCAATCGTCACAACTGACTGAGGCTCAACTCCGTGACCTATCGGCCATAGCTCTGCAAAAAGCAGCTGAAAAACAAGCATCAGATCGTGATCGCCCGCCAACTCCATCTGCACCACCATTATCAGAAACTACCATCAACAGTTCTATCAGGAGCTCCACCATCATAAACAATTGTGGTTGTTCTTGTTGCTCTGTGTGTCTTTATTTATGAATAAGGATAAAAAGAAAGAAAAAAAAAGAAGGAAATTTTTAAATTTACTTTCTGTAGCCTTAAAAATAATGAATGAGTGAAAAAACAGGATTCGTATATATTAATGATGAGTATTGATCATTGTCAATGTCGAGTAAACAGGTTTTTTTTTGAAATTACCTTTTGATGCAAAATTCATTGATTGGAAACTTCTGACTGTGTTCTATTATGGAAAATTCTTTTGATAAAAAGTCTATCGGAAAGATTCAAATATGTTGTCCAATTCATGAACAATGGAAAACATAAGTCAAAATATTGACGATTATATTTTTATTATGACTGATTTTTTTCGTCAATACCCAAAAATTAGACGAACGAGCGATCTTTATTGACAGATACAAAAAATAATTTATTTATTCGTTTTTCTTTTTTACTTGTCTTGGTTGTCTGTATGAGTTACTTACTATCGAGAAAAATCTGATGTCTTCTACTTAAATGCTTTTGTTATTGTTAGGTTATAAAGTCAATCTATAAAATGCATTACATCTCAATGAGTTTTTCGATATTGTTGCAGAAACGGTTATGATCTATTGACTGCTCTATCCTATTATTTTCAAATAAAAACCATATAACAATAATTATCTTATATCTACTAACTGAAGTTTATGAAGATGCATGTCTTTTGCTCGAATAAAGTTAACTATAGAGAAGGTAATTCTTTCGGATTGATCAAACAAAGAACATAACAAAAATGATAGATGAAATGTATTGCCATGATCAACACGTAATCAATGAGCTTCAAATGTCTCTTTATGCAATAATATATAATTTGTGACAAAATACCTATGAAATTTATTATCGAAACCTATTAAGATATTATAGATAGGTTTCAGAGCTCCAACCAGGCCACTAGGTCTGCATACCTGTGACAGGTAGGCCGCTTAAAATGGCCAGACCGCCTGGTCTATCTACTTTTTTCTTCAATATGAAAAATTTGTCGCATGAATTGAATTTAATTCAAGAAAACAAATGTAGTTGAGTAGTTTTGAAGGATGACATTTAAATATAACGAATTAGATAGATGCTTGAGAATAAATATTGAAGATAGATATAAACAATGAAATCTACTGTCAATATGAAGAGGTTTTCAGCCCAAAAGAAGAGCTCAATAGTTGATGAAAACTTCCCATGGAAAGGTTTTTTAAGCAAAATTATTGAACAAGAGTTTCGAAAGTGATCGGTGGTAGAATTCGCTATCTTGCAACTGTTTACACTGTACTCAGATCCTTTGAAATAATCAATTGGTGTATTATGTCTGACTGTTGATGATAATCAGGTCTATTTAACTGTCAATATGGTAGCAGATTAAACTAACTTTCATATAGTTTGATAAGGATTTTTAAGCTCTTCGAAATGTTAAGGAAACATCGGAGAAAAAATGAATGATCAGCAAAAAAAGCACCCGAGGGAAACATTTCTCCAGGCATGATATGAGTATCTTTGACTGATATTTGGTAGATTTTAATCAGAAGTACAGTTTGGATAGAAACTAAAATCATCTTGGGAACCAGCATTTAACATTGAGCGGACTGATGAAAATTTTAAATCTTTTTATCGACCTTCTATCGTCGAAAAAAGCACCCATGTCCCCATCAAGATTAAGTCAAAATATGAATCGCATCAAAAAGTAGTTTCACTAATGAAAAAGAATTTTAAGGCTGCACAATGACAGTAGAACAAAAAATAGAGTTTGCGTAAGCCATCAAAAACACTCTTAACGAGATTCATTTTTTTGACTTAACCCGGGGAAGACTGGGTGACTTTTCAACGATAAAAGGTCGATAAAAGGATTTAAAATTGGCATAAGTCTACTCAGTGTTAAATACTGATTCATAAGATGATTTTAGTTTTTACCTAAGCTGTACTTCTGATTGAAATCTACCAAATACCAGTCAAGACCACTGAAAATCATATCTGAAAAAGTATGTATCTTTTCGACATTTTTGTCAGTGCTGAGTGTTTTTCTTCGACACTTTCTTATCATTTCAGAGTGCTTAAAAATCACTGTCAAACTGTTTGAAAACTAGCTTGATCGATCACTACAACGATAGTTAAATAGATCTAATTATTATCGACGGTGGGATAAGTATGTTTATTAACTATTTCAAACCATCTGAGTACAGAGTTAATACGTGCATAAGGGCTAATTCTGTCAGTGATCACTTTCGAAATTTTCGTATAAGAGTTATGCACAGAAAAAAAGGTAGAATCTTACTAGGGAGTGTATTTCATCACACATTGAACCATCTTTTCCACGTTTACCATTACTTGTTCTGGGTCAGTTTTTAAACCCCAGTTAATTTAGCTGAAGTTGAACAGTCTGTTTCTGTTTTAGATTTAGTAGTTACTGCACGTGGCTCCTCTCTCGCTTATAATACTATGAGTGACATTTGTCTGTCAGATGTTTCGAAAATATTTTTGAAGAAAAAACAGATTGTTTTTCTCAATATCAATGTGTGTCGGTTTCTTTATTGTCCTCGACACTTATATTTTTCACTTCATATTAAATGTAGAGTAAAATTTTACACCATCAACGTCTCCACAATGTGAACATCTCATTATAGTGAATAATCTGAATTCACGCTGAGGCATTTTTGTTCAAAGTCAATCATTTCTTAGTGAAAGCCTCCTGATAATGACATATGAATGCTTTTTTTCTGACTTTGAACAACGTGAAAAAAGTTTCCTGTAGTCATTTTTATTTTGTTCTACTCCTTTTCCTATATCCTCTGTTGCACAGATAAGAGAGAAACATCTCTGTATAGTGAACACTTTTAAATATTTTCTTGAATATTCACATGAGAAAATTTTTACTTGTGTCATCTAAACTGATTCCATTAACTTGCTGGACTTTCTATGAAGACTAATACTTAATTATATCATATTATTATAATCATATTGGCTTAAAAAAAAACTAGACAGGCAGGCCGAGGAGGGTGTAGGCCTG